ATATATATATATATATATAAAATATTCACATATCCACACATACACATATTCATCTATATTCATATACACATACTTTTCACATACATATACACGTATACATATGCCCCATGCATATATTCATACATGCATACATACTTATACATACACATACATATACACATACATACACATACATATATATATATATATATATATATATATATATATATATATATATATATATACATATACCCATACATACACACACATACACATACACATATACATATACACACATACATACATATACACACATACATACATATACACATACATATACACATGCAAATACATACACACCTTTACACATGTATATATATATACACATGCAAATACATACACCCTTACACATGTATATATACACATACACACACATACACACACATAAACATGTATATACATAAGTACACATACACACCTATACATATACATACATAAACACCTCCATACGTACATATATACACACTTACATACATACACACATATACACATACATACATATACATACAAATATACACACATATATATATATACACATACATACATATAAACAGACACAGAGATATACACATATGTACATATATATAAAAAAGTTAAAATCCAAATAAGTGACGATTCAAATATTTGCGCGTGTATGAAAAAAAAAAAAAATTTTCATATATATATACATACATATATATCTACATACACATACATGCATATACATACACATACACATACACATACATACATACATGCACACACATACATACACAAACATATATATATATATATATATATATATATATATATATATATATATATAAAATACATAGCGCATCACATAAACGTGCACAGATACATTTAGAGATAAACATAATAGTCATACAATTAAAATGTCATGCCCGATGTTATAGGACCGAGATGGAGCCGACATAAGTGACAACCTGTTACAAAACGGTGTTCAAGTTTGGAAACGTTTCTTATGTCTACATTTAGAGAATATCTCCTTCCGAAGATTCAGCAGCTCATCTCGATTTTTATCTTTGATAATGAAGATTTTTTCCGCCAAGCATAGATCACACCGTTCGCGGAAGTTATTAGGTATTCTGGCTCTAGATAGGAATCTCCATTTCAAAATTGGGTTTAATCCCTTATCCACCAGTTCCCAGTAGTGTTTGGATAAGGAAGTCTGTCTACTGAGGCATCTATATCTAAATGAGCGTCTATGGTTGTATAGACGCTGCTTCCAATCACCGGCGGATATACCTATGTATCTTTTTTTCTCGTTTATATTTCCTTCGGGAAAGATAGTTGCCTCGTATACTACATTTTCAGATTTGCATTTACCCCCGATTGGACAATGGTCTTTATTCCTACAATTGCAGGTAGGGTTACTAGATTGAGTTTCATTACCGTGGTAGTTTCTAAGTATTCTGCAATTATGGGAAGATATGATTTTCTCTATATTTCTAACGCATGAGTAACTAATTTTTAGAGTTTTCCTATTGAAAATTTTACGTAGTGGATGCTTACTGTGGAAATGTTTATCAATTAATTTCAGAAAGAAACTTCCTATATCAATGTTAGAGAGTCTGCAATATGGTGGGTTGAACCATATTACCTTCCTTTTCCTGTTCTTAGTTTTGCTCTTATTCTGGTTTACAAGTTCTCCATTAAAGCTTAATTCTTGTCTAAAACCACTATTTTTTAAGGCCTGATTGTATATAAATTTATTATCATTAAATATTTTCTGGCTAGAAGATAGCTTATTTATTCTCGTATTCACAGTTTTGGGGATGTGATCTATCACATGTTTAGGGTGGTTAGAGTGGACGTTGATGTATAGGGGTGTTTGATCAACTTTATGGAAGGGTTTAAAGGTATTATTCGATAGATTGAGTGTAATATCTAAAAAGTTGACTATTTTCAGGTTGGAAGATATTTCAATTTTAAGGTCTAAGTATTTGAAGGCCCTAATAATCTTCTTATGTAAGCTGGAAGTTAAGGGACCATTGCTATTTGGGACAATGATTAAGCCGTCATCTCTATAAATTCCGACTTGGTTAAGGTCAACTATTCTACTCAAGGTGTCAAGAATATATATGCCCACCAGATCTGCAATTTCGGCAGAATCAAAGGCACCCATAGGTACATCGAAATTACCATTATTCTTTTTTATCCAAGTAGCGTCATTGTATGTAAGTATTGATCTTCTAGACGCTAAAATAATGTCCAGATCAATATCCGTTATTTTGGTAAATCCTTTAGATTTTTATTATTTTTTATTATATATATTATTTTGGTAAATCCTTTAAATTTTTATTATATATATATATATATATATATATATATATATATATATATATGAAGACCGTATTTCTTATAAATACATTCTATTACGTTTTTTTATCACATGTTTTCAAATTGATACCGTTATGATCAAGACATTACTGATAACCTCATGTAATGGAATCACGAGCAGGCATCAACATTTCGATAGGTTTCTTGGATCTCTGTGAAAAACTTTCCATCAACGGTTCTTATGCACACCGTGTACAGTTCTATCAGCTTAAACTTACCTCTAATTAATGAAAATGTAAACCGCCTCGTTGGATATGAATGAAACTCGCTTCGATACGGCCTTTAGTCATTGCCGTCCTTTTCCAACTTTCAGTAGCATTTCAGTGTGAACTTTTTTTTGTTCACCTCTTATGCTGGATGACATTAGTAACACTAACGCATAAATCTGAAATGTAGGCACTATGACTTGAACTCTACACTCTAAAAGAAAGCCTACTTTTTTGAGACACCATGTATAAAGGGTTCGATGGATGAATTGTCGTCTCAATCAAGCATCTCATTTTAACAACTATATTTACAAAAATTACACAAAAATATCGTGAAGTACTAGAGTAAGTTTATTCCATAAAATTTTCATTATCTTCACTCACGACCTCCAGATGTCATCGGAATCTCCTGCATCTCTTCTGGACGGTCTCCTTGGTTAATTTGGTGAATGCTGTCATAATCCTTACCATCAGTTCATCTTTCGTGTTACAACGAGTTTTGATGGTCTCCCGCCCAATTACGCCCCCAAACATAATAATCAAGGAGGATGAAGTTTGGGGAGTTGGATGGCCAGATATAGAGTGTGATGTGGTCGCAGAATTTGTCTGAGCCATGACTTAGTCCTCCTGCTTGTGTGGCATGATGCAGAGTCCTTTTGTCAGACATATGTTGTTCCATCAGCCAATCTCTTGACCCAGGGGCGGATTACCTCCTTAAGGCACTTGATGTAGGCCACCGTTTGGAGTCTGAGACCCTGTGGGAAGAAGAAGGAAGACTCCAAAGACCTTGGTAATCACCATCAGACTCATCCAACTCTTTCCATATTCTCTTGCACAGTCCTCAGATTGATCCCCCCAAGCACTCTGAAATGTTAGTATTAGAGCTCCCGGTGCGAATACCAAGCGGAACATCATGCTGTTTCAAAATTTCTGGCGGAGAGAATTGTGTCATGGTGCTCTTTTTCTCACAGACAATACCCAGCTGACCCTACTATCCTCTGCAGTCGACACAATCAAAAATAAACAACGCGCATGCGCGAAAATATAAATATAAATTTACACATCACACCCTGCATATATCGGCGAAAGTAGGGACCATATATTTTGAACATATTGAGCGATTAATTTTGTTCATCCGTCAATTTCTCTAGTGAATATATTTATTGTTGTAACCTAGGAAGGGTTTGCTAATGAGGAATAACCAAAACGCAGGTTGGGAATGAAATGGTAACCTTTATAACATCAAGAAATTACAATACTCGCCAGCAACGTGAAGTAGGTAAACCACTGCTAGGGGTGGACTACTGCATATTACCACAACACACACACACAGTAGTGTCCAAGGTATTTATGAGGATTGGCATATATCCATTAGTGTTCATAGGTACGGCATATAACAATATGATTTCGTGTGTTTATCTTTATATATTTATCATTATATTTATATAATCTGTCATTTATGAAATACATACCACCCTGATTTCTTGACTTTATTTCGGCTATATATTCCAGCTTGTTATGAATTCTTTGACGTGTAAAGACATTCATCTACAAACACCTGAAACGTGCTGAACCCCCCCAAAAATCAGTGTGGTTGGACCCGTTTTGTGGGGGGGGGATCATTCAGACTACAGAAATGAAATAAAATTTATCTGCCCTGTGAACTAAATAAAGGGTTCGGTTCGAAATTCCAACGTGAAGAAGTCTTGAGAGTAGAATGGCCGAAACGTCGTGAATATGGCAATAAAGATGAGGACAAAAGTCCGAACAATGTAAATAGTATAAATTTGTAACCTAGGAAAGGTTACTAAATGAAAACTAATGAAAATAGTGTCCAATGTATTTATGGAAAGTGAGACATACCCATTCGTGTTCATATGTACGGTATATAACATTTAACTCCAACAGGAAATAAAAAAAATCTTATGTACTCTCCAGGTTTTTATTCTCATCTTGAAGAAACCAATTTACCGTTTAGCTTATGGTCAGCATCCAAGATTTCTATGAGACGATAAAGACGTCAGAAAGGATGAATAGTTAAATATTTCGATTGTTTGATAAAGGCAGCCTTTTGAAATTGTTTATTTTCCTTTCTGTATATGTGCGGTGGGGTAATAAGTAGGGACTCGAAATTAGAAATTGGTGAGTCGAATTCGAATTCTAGTCGGGTTCGTTTCTTTTCATTGACGCGCAAATATCTTGCCCACGACATGCCACCGCTGCTCAGGCTGATTTACACGTGGTACTCCTAAGACCCTCAGGGGTTCCGGAACTCGTGATCAGGATTTTCTTTTCATGTTAGTATCAGACATACAAATGAAATCGACTGAAAATTATGAACGATTTATTTTATTTTTTCCTTTTTACTTAATATTTTTATAATTAGAAATAAGCATCACAAAAAGATTCAAAATGATAACTGAAGCCATCTACATCTCCCTATTTAAATGTAAATATCGATCTCGTACGATTGATCATATCTACCCGTATACTTATGTATCCTAGTTTTTTTTTCTTATGTCTCTCACTGTGATCATATCATAACATATCATTCCTATCTATCTCAGCCTGTTATTATCTATCTATCTATCTATCTATCTATCTATCTATCTATCTGTCAGTCTTTTCACATTTGTCTATCACAATCTGTACATATCTGTCTATCTACCATACTCACTCTGTTCTTATCTATCTATCTAACTCTCTCTCTCTCTCTCTCTCTCTTTATCTATCTATCTATCTATCTATCTATCTATCTATCTGTCAGACTTTTCACATCTGCCCATCACAATCTGTACATATCTGTCTATCTTTCTATCTGTTTCAGTCTGTTCTTATCTATCTATCTATCTATCTATCTATATATCTATCTATCTATATATATATATATATATATATATATATATATATGACTTTTTCATATCTATCACATTCTGTACATATCTGTCTCTCTCTCTATCTATCTATCTATCTGTCAGACTTTTCACATCTGCCAATCACAATCTGTACATATCTATCTATCTATCTATCTATCTATCTATATATATATATATATATATATGACTTTTTCATATCTATCACATTCTGTACATATCTGTCTCTCTCTCTATCTTTCTATCTATCTCAGTCTGTTCTTATCTATCTATCTATCTATCTATCTATCTATCTATCTATCTATCTGTCTATCTATCTCTCTATGTGTCTGTCTGTCTGTCAGTTATTTTTTTTTATATTTGCTTATCACAATCTGTACATATATGTCTATCTATCTTTCTATCTCAGTCTTTTCATATCTATCTAGCTATGCCCAGTATTATAAATGGTCGAATTGCTTTATACGACTCGATGGGCCAGGCGAAGCTCTTCGATCCGATCTTTGCCTCAAATTCGTTAGAAGTTAGATGACAAAGGACATCTCCTCACCAACTTCATAGGTCTCACTGAGCGCAATCTCAGAAATATACTCATTTCATCAAGAGAAGTCTCTAGATTTATCAACAGCCTCGATCCCAAAAAGGCCACTGACCCAGAAAAACTTCCACCGCTTATCCATAAAAGTATCGACCTACAATTATCCCCGATTCTAAAAAGTTAATTAACCGCTTCTTGAACGAGAAATCTTTCACAAGCATGGAAAAGGTGGCAAGCGTATGCCTGATCTTCAAGAACACGGGCAAACGATCCTCCTCTTCTCTGTATAGACCCATTAGTCACTTCAGTATCATAAGTAAGCTTTTTGAGAGCTTAATCAGCAAGAAGGCCATCGAGCACCTAGATAGAAGCAACCTCTTGTGTGGGTTTCGATCAGCCCGATCTACTGCTGACGTCCTCCTACCTACCGTTACTCACAGAATTAATGTGACGAGTGCAGATAGCCCAATCACGCATACACGCATATATTAAGGTTAATCTCCGCCTGACAACAGAAGAGGTCACGTGGGAGTCTCGAGGTTGACTGACCCAGTTATCTGTAGCAACAGACGTCTAGACAGAATCTAGACAGGGGACTGACGTAAGGTCATGAAGCAGCAGGAACTGGAATACGCGCCAAAACGCAGGACACGTGGGAATTAGAAAATTACTTGGAAGTCAGTTGCTGTTTTGTCTTTGAAGGAGCAAGACTCGAAATCGAAGCGCTGATAACTTATGAACGGAAAGATGAGACTCATTTTGGTAATGATGGAACTTGTCCGATTCATCCCAAGCAACTCCGGATAAGAAATATAAGGATATGTATTTCTGTTCGTTAACTCCAAATTGAAGAAGATGAATCGAGTTATTTATCACAGAAGACGCAAGGAAATGTGTACGCTGAGAATACAGCCTGCGTTTGAAGAAAGAAAATAGAAAACCAGAGAGAGGAAGAAAGTATATATCTCTGTTGCAAGCTGAAATGTGTAAAGAAGAAGAAAAAAAAAAGAAAAGATAAAACCAGTGAGAAGAAAGTATATATCTCTGTTGCAGCCGAACCGTGTTTGAAGCTGAACTGTGTAACGAAGAAGAAAGAACGGAAGGAGAAAACCAGAGAGAGGAAGAAAGTGTATATCTCTGTTACAGCCGGACCGTGTGTGAAATTGGATTTGTGTAAAGAAAAGGAAAGAAAGGAAAGGGGAAACGTGAGAGAGAAAAGAAAGGACAATGAGTAAAAGAGAGAACTAAATATAAAGATAAGTAACTATATATTTTGGACCCGTGTTAGAAAGATACACATGCATCCATAAATATTATGTTCTTACAAACACCTTTCTACATGTCAAAATAATAATATGTAAATCCTATCCCATCTCTTTTGGTTAGACGTTGATTTCTGCATTCTTAGTTATTCATACTTATTTTTTTATCCGTTCAGGTTCAGTCGAATCCACTTGGATTTGGGCATATTTTGGTATCCCAACATAAGTCTTGAGATTCTGGTCGTCGGATGCTTTACTCATGCTTATATTTTTCTTTTATTTTAATATTTTGTGTATATGTAAATATTAAAATTCTTATGCCAAAATGTATTACGCCTTATCGTTCATCCTTGAATTGTGGATCAGTATTCGTGTTGAAACCGAAGCGAACCTGGGAAAGGATTACTGTTTGATTATCCTAATCGAACAGTATTCGTTAAAATATTTTTGTTTATTAATTGTCCATTTGTCATGGTCTGGGAGAGATAGCCCGTATCTCTCCACATATGTGATAATGTATATATCTCCTGGTCGGCGTATGATTGCATTATAAAGTGTTCGTCGACTAGGGTATATGACAATTAGTGAGGCCCTTACGACACACATACCTCAAGGACCATAAACTTAGATATCTCGAAGTCCTTACACAAGGTGTGGCACAAAGGTTTGCTACACAAGCTCACCAGCTATAGAATCGCTGGAAGGGTTTTCTCTATTACAAAATCCTTCCTGAAGGTAGTTATTATCGGCCAATCATATGAAGCCCTGGCGGTTAAAGCTTGCGCACCCCCCAGGGGTCACTTCTTGGGCGAAAGCTTTTTCTGATTTAGAGAAATGATGTACCTAAGAATATACTCCGAACATTTGTAAACGTCTATGCCGATGATACGGCGATATACGGGTGCAACAAAAAAGACCTGACGATCAGAGATTGGCATATGACCTCTATTCCGGTTTAACATTAACTTACCAATGAAAAAAAAATGATGATTTTATTTAATGTCTTTAAAACCGAAATGGTTACATTCCATCACCGCTGATCAGACCTCGAACTCCCACGTGTCTAGATGAACGGATATTCCCTCGAGACTCGAGACACGTTGCCTTGAACGGATATCGGGCATCAAACTTACACCCCCACAAAACTAGTGGAATTCCTGCATACGAACCATCGCTAAAGATGAAGCTAAAATAATCGGCTCTCTGTACCACTCCAGTAAGTACCTGACTCCTCATTCTATCCTCTACCTTTATACGACCCAGATCAGATGGAAAATGAAGTACTGGTGCCTTATTTTGACACGAGCTGCCTAGATCTCACTTTCCCGACTTGATAGAGTTCAGAAGCGTATTCGAGTCCGTCTTGAAGAAGAATTATTTCCCACACTCCAATCTCTCTCTCACAGGCGGAATGGGGCGAGGCTCTCACTGCTCTATCAATGCTACCGTGGAAAGGGCTCGGACGAACTATATCCCTTTGTTTCGCCAGGTCAAACCATCACGTATAAGACCCGACATGTCACCTACATAGTTACAAACCCCTCTCATTCCCGCCGTATTCCATCGCCGAGAAGTAAATTTCAGTCAAACAGCTTCTTTCCGCAAGCCACTGCCCTATGTAACAGACTCCCAAGAGGATGTTTCCACGATCACTTCAATCATAATCCGTTCAAGTCTAGAGTTAGCCGATATCCCCCCCTATACAAAAAAAACTACCACTTTTACAGTAAACATAAGATCACATTTACCTACCTCTGTATCTATCTATCTCAGTCTGTTCATATCTATCTATCTATCTATCTATCTATCTATCTATCTATCTATCTATCTATCTATCTATTTATCTATCTCAGTCTTTTCATATCATCTATCTATCTGTCTGTTCATATCTCAGTCATTTCATATCATCATTTCCATCATCTATGTCAGTCGTTTCATATCATTCATCTATCTATCTATCTATCTCTATCTATCTCAATCTGTTCATCTATCTATCTATCTCAATCTATATCTATCTATCTATCTATCTATCTATCTATCTATCTCAATCTGTTCATATCTATCTATCTATGTATCATTTATCAATCTATCTATCTCATCTGTTCATATCTCAGTCATCATATCTATCCATCTGTTCACATCTATCCATCTTGTCTATCTATATATATATATATATATATATGTATATATATATATATATATATATATATATATATATATATATATATATATATATATATATCACTCTATTTACTGTCAGCCAACTATTTCATATTTTTTCTATTATATAATTATGAGTTTTTTCATAACATTTTGTAGCAAAGTTGTTTGAAAAATTACAGTTTTATGCGAATGGTCTTTATTCTATCTTTAAAATCAAAAGATATTTTATCAAATCTTCTTGTTCTCTATTCGGATAAACGTGAATCACTGTTAACTAAAAAAGAAATATTTATGGCCAAATATTTACATCAAAATATTTTATTCATCAAAATCTGTGTAAAAGGAAATTCAAAAGGTGATAGAAATCTGAAAAAAAAACAGCGCTTTAGTTTTGTAAAACACAAACTGATTGGTTGGTTATTTCTTTGGCTCAATTATAGCTTCCAGTTCATATCAGCGGTAACATCTATCTATCCATCTTAAGAAATAACCTTGTAAAATGAAAGGTCTTCAACACCATGAATGATGTTTACTCTTAAGGCAGCCTATTCATTAAAAACCGATAAAAAAGAGCACAGTTTTTCACTTACTTCCAGTCACTGTTAAACACTGTCGAGAACAACTTTCAGAAGCAGTCAGAAGCACAGTTTCAACAAAAGCTAATGGATTTTCTTTTCTTTCATTCTTCGGACAAAGGCGTGAATGGTTGAACAAACTCTTGTTCAACAGAGAATATATTTATATATATATATATATATATATATATATATTTGTATAATTAGGCTCCTTCCTTTATGCATATTTCGTTAAAAACGACAGACAAGGTATATTGAGCTTTTATTTAATTTTCTTGTGTTCTATATTTTCTGGACAAAGAGTGTATAATGTTCTATATTATCAAGGATGGTTCAATGTGTGTGGTAGTGATGTTTTAGTTTCCATAGCACATTGTGGCTTTGTTCATAATTGATATTGTTAAGATATTTTTTTTAGTCTTTTTTGCAAGTGGATGCAGTTAATATATTAGTGTTTTCTACTAGTATGTTCCTAATAGTGTCGGGTAAATCTGAGTGTGTTTTTAAATGTGTTCTGATGGAACTGTGATCAGATAGGTGTAATTAAGACGTCTGGATAAACATGTGGTTGTGTAGCCGATGTAATTATTTACTGTCCTTAAAGGGCATTTGAACTCAAGATAATGTTCGCTTTTGAAAACTTTTGTGTTTTATTTTTGAGGATAAGGTTGGCCGTCTTAAATTTTTTTATAATAGATAATAAGTTTGATTTTTTTTATCCGGGTCATGAGTTTTTTAAGAAGATTCATCTTGCTTGTAATTAATATGCATTTGGTTTTTGTAAAATGTTATGTGATTTTAATGTGTTCGTATCATTGGGGAAATATTCTTATTTGTTGGTCTATAAGGTAGTTAGGGAACCGTTGTTAATTAGTGTTTGTTTAACGTTTTAAGTTCTTTGAGAAAGAGTAGTCGAGAATGATTCTGGTGATTTAGAAAGTTTTTTATTACAGCTTTTTGTACCTTGTTTCTTTTAAAATTAAGGTGGCACGAGTTTTTTGCTAAAATAATGATGTAATATTTTAGTCAAAGGATATCTAAGAATGGTAGTTTGTTTTTTTGGCTAAGTTCATATGTAAAATTAAGAAAATGTGGTCTTAAATTTCTTTAATGATCAGCTAAAATGAATTTCATCTACGTCATAGATTTTCGGTTTGTGGACCTAAAATATGGTATTTTCTACGTGGAATCATGGACCCAATTTTATACTAAACCATTAGTTTGGGTATAAATATTGCCATTATGGTCATAGAAGGGGACTTTTGATTGTGCATGCGTGTAGTAATTTTTTTTAGGATAGGTGGTTTGATGGATGGCGGAATGGAATTATTATTGTATATAGAAGGATAATTTAGTTTTATCAACAGGACGTTTGTGAATAAGTTTTCAACGTCCAGTGACGCTATTAAATTTGTTCCATTTGTAAAAAAAGGTGATGCAGCGCTGGTTAGGTATGGATTTCGTTAAGGAATTTTGATAAAAGGTATCCCGGTTGGTAATCTCCAATTTTTTTGAATTTTCAGGGAATCAACTTCCGCGTTGTGAGCTGTTATAAACTTAACAGACCTTTTTAAATTCTCAGTAGGATTTCGTTTCAATTTGGTGAATTTAGATCGGTCATCAACGATATCTTTTAATTTTTGCTGGTAATCAGCTTTGTTGACTATAACATATGTGTTAGATTTATCAGCGCGTCTGATGACAATGTCAAATGTTTTTTAAATCTTTCGCAGCGTTTTTTAGTTTTGGTGTTAAAATACTACTATGGTTAGTGCCGGGGATCGGTTCTTCAAACCCTCAGCTTTGAGTAGGTCTTTCATGTCAGGGTTGTACTGCTATGTCACCACGCGTGGAAAGTTGGGATAGTGATTGGTATAAAATTTCAATTTCGGTTGTCTTGGTGATAAGGTCAAACTTAGATTGGATGTGGCAGTTTGGACCTAAATTTAGAAATTCTTTTTGGTCATCTGTTAATTTATGGTTGGATAAATTTAAATATTTGTCTTCACTGTTGGGTAATAAAATTTTCCTTGATATAATTTACAAAGTTTTTTGTAATTATTTGTCTGTGTGAGTTGGTGCTGGTTGATGCTAAGATTGAGGTGGTACAGCGCTTCATTATATTCAGATTCGGTCAAAATGTTTTTAGTGTAGTGTTATGTTTGTGTATTTCTTTGTTTTTAAATGTTGGATTTCATTTTGAGCAAAAGACGAGGTTTTTCCTGAATGTAGTGGTGTTATTTTCCTTGTTGGCCAATTTGATATTTGTATAATATCAAAGAACTTAAAACGTTAAAACTACCTTATAGACCAACAAATTAGAATATTCCTCCCAAAGCAAGTAATAATGATAGCGAACACACAACTAAAAAATCACTTTTATTACAAAACCAAATGCATATTAATTATCCGCAAGATGAATCTGCTCTAAGACATATTATAAAGAAATATACTACTCCTATTGACCCGGATAAAAAAATCAAACTTATTATCTATTAAAAAATTTAAGACGGCCAACCTTATCCTCAAAAAATAAAACACACCAACGAAGTCAAAATTACAAAAGAGTGCAACATTTCTATGAGTTCAAATGTATTTAAGCAGTTTCTCACCAAACTGGACTCATAAATAATTA